ATACAGAAATGTTGACTGAATGTTCACCACTTGTTTTATTTATTGTTTCTACTCAAAGAGTTAAAAAGGGTTTTCTGATGTGGAATATAGCCTGTAAAGTCACAACTTCAGGTTCAAGCTGAAGATACCCCTGCGTGAAACCTCATGACACCCGAGCTATTTTATTGGCTGCATTATCTTTTCTGTGCCCAGTCCTGTATGTCTTCACAGTATTATGTTCCCTCAGCCTACTGACTTTTCCATCTGCCACTCTTGATTACTTTGGTCTCTTTTTCTCTAACTTATTTTGTCAGTCATTTTATACAATGTGTATTTCTTCATTCTCTAGTTACTCTGGGTACCACTTGTTTGTCTCAGATTATTTTGGATTATCAGTTAGTTTCTAGGGTATAAATTTGTTAGCATTTATGAGCATCCCATATTTAACTTAGATTAAATAAAGTCAAAGGGGAGAGGCACATAATATAATAAAAAAGTTAACTCCAACTAATTTCATTTTTTATTGCATATCTGTTTTAAAATTATCATTTGAAAACAGCATGAATTTTAATGGTAGTTATAGCCTGAAGTACATTTTGTTGCAAGGTCTCGCTTCTAGTTTCAGCCCCAATGTCACTTAGAGGTGAGATGTCAGTAGGAAATATCCTTTTGGGTGGTTTTTTCAGTCATGGTGATGGATTTGTATCCAATCACACAGTCATACCCTTTCTCCTTGTGACTCTTGGCATGCCTTCTGAGATGGCTGGCCAGGATTAGTGGTAGAGACTATAGCTACGGAACAAAGTGAAGCTAATAGATTGAATCTCCAACTTTGGCCTTATTACTAGCAACTTGCATCAGACATTGAACATACTGGTAGCTTAAAAATTACTTATTTTGGATTTCATTATAACAAGACCCTGAAAGAACTTTAAAGTTCTTAGATAAGATCCAGTATTATTGTTAACTAATCAGTCATTTTGTATATATATTTTCTGGAAGAACATTTAAAGAGATTACTTATCAATCAAAAGTACTATATTCGATATCTTATAATAGCTTATGGTGAAAATATGAAAATGAATATATGTATATGTATGATTGAAGCATTGTGCTGTACACCAGAAATAAACATTGTAAACTAACCATACTTCAGTAAAAAAAAAAAATATATATATATATATACACACACACACACATATACAAAAAAAGCGTATAAGTTAATACTAAAGCTGAGATTGGGTCCTCATAATAGGTTGTATTTTTTCCTCCTTATCCTGTCATCAGTGGTCTTGATGTGTAGGTCAGTAATTCCAAGACCAGTGGCATCAGCATCCCTTGGGAATTTGTTAAAATACAGATTTCCTGGCTGTACCTCGGGTCTAGCTGAATCAAAAACTGGGAGTAGAGACCACAGTTCGTGTTTTATCAAGACCTCCAGGTGATCCAGGTGCATGTTGAAATTTGAAAACCACTGTCTTAGGTCTTCTACTGATTGTTGCCTGGTAACTCCATCAATGTTAGTTGAAATGGACTAAGTTAAGGTCTATGTTAGAACTACTGTAAGCCTGTTACTTGTGAGTACTTTTGTAAAGATATTGACTGAAATAGTGAAAGGTAAAATTCATCTGCTGTGGATTTATTTTATCTGGTTTTTAGGAGATTTCCTGAGGTCTTTTCTTTCTTAGCCACAAGAAAGAACACAAATCAAGAATGTATGTTTTAGGCTTTTCTTAAAAATTGATCCTTGGTGAGAAGCATTAGTGGTAACATGCATTTAAAAAAGTATTATAAAGAACCACCTGAACCAGTAAACGTTTATGCCCACGGGAATGAAATAACCCAGATGCAGATGTTCAGAAAGCAGTGAGTTTATTTTGGAAAGTTGCCAGTTAATGCTATTGTATTCAAATTCACCAGGGACTAAAGTTGCATGTGATTCAGGACTTGCAACCAGTAGAAATTCTCAAGATTTTAGTATAGAATATTTTCTCTTTATAAGGAAGTTAATTTTGAGCGGATAAAGCACTTGATATCTTTTGGCCTTTCTATGATTTAGGTAAATCAGTGGATAGGATTAAAAACTATTGAGAGGTGATAGTCATGGGTAGGGAGTGATTTTGTAAGCCTGCTTTCCACAGGAAATCAGGTTAAAAATGGAACTATATAAAAAGAAAAGATTGGTACAAGGTTATTAAAATTAAAGGGACTAGAGAAGATGTTCTCTTAATGAAAATAATAATCTCATTTCCCTTTCCTGTAGCTTTATTACATAGAACTAATTGTGCGTATGCCTCTTAATGTGTTTCTGCATATGTACCAATGTGGTCATCACTATAGGCCACTAAAGAGCAAGCTTCAAAGTTCTTCCCCTGCCCAAGTACAGAGTACCAGGGTGCTAATTGCTGATGATTTTTCTTCTTTCAATCACTCTTACTGGATGTGATTAACTCTTGGGCTCTTTAAAGACTTCTTAGTCTAGATTAAATATGGGCAGATGCTGTGTGTTAAATATAATAAAAATTAACTTTTAAAATGTTTTAACTGTGCACTTCAAAAAACCTGAGTAACACTTACTTGGAAAACTCTTCTTTCTTCTTCTTTATTTACTTTTTTTTTAAGTTAGGGTTTAGATTTAGCAAAATATAACAGAAAATCCAAACAAACTGTGGCTTAAAACAAGTATTTTTTTTTCCCACGTGAAAGCCCAGAGATAGTATAGATTTGACATAGCAGATATGATGTATCAAGGACACAGATCCTAACTTAACGTGCCTTACATTCCAGTGTTACCTCAGGAACCAGAATTGCTATTGGAGCTCTAACCATTGAAGCTCCATTCTATTCAAAAGGAAGGAGGAAGGGAAGAAGAAAGGCATGTGCCCTCTATTTAAAGGGCATCTTTTTTGAAGTCACAAGTTGTCTTTTAAGTTCACATCCACTTGGTCAGATCATGGTCCCATGACCATACCTAGCCACAATGGATGCTAAAATACATAGTCTTTTCTGAAGAGGCCTTATTCTGACCTGAAAATTGGAGGTCTCTCTCTAAGGAATAGGAAAGAATAGGTGTTGGGGATAGTCAGAAACTTCTCCCATGTGTACAAATAAATCATCTTTAAAGCAAGGGAGATACTTTTCGTTTAAAGTGTACAACACTTGTGCCAGAGTCATTCTTAGATTTGCCTGCAATGACCGTAATAGAAAATGCACAGGAAGATGATGTGCTGTAGCAGACCAAAAGGGAGAACTGTGTCTTGGAACACTCTAAACTCTGAGTTTTTAGGCTTTTTACTTTATTTGTGTGTGTATTATCTTGGGCTAGATTTTTATACTACTAATCTGAGACCATAAAATAAAAGGGATACGCTTAATAATTGCCAGATCATTAGGTGAAAAGCAAATAGAAATCAAATGAAGAATAACCAGCTATGCTCTTTCATTTGAAGAGCTCAAAGAGTTGCCTGGTGGAGTAGTTGTGTTGTGAGGATGGTGGCCTGCACTGCTCACTCCTCTGTGGATGGACACTCATTTCCAAGCCATGTGTCCAAGGGTGTTACCTCCCCCAGAATATTCCATCAGGTTCTCCTTAGCTGTTTTCTCTCATTACAGTTCAAAAGGTTTCATGAGGGAAATGAAAGCAGGCAGTTAGGGCCATGTTAAGTTTATGAATGCTTTTTCCCAATATCTTGTGTTTCTTTTTGTATCTTTGACCTAAAAATTTGGAAATTCTGAGAAATTGATATTTTATGCCTTTTTGTGTCACCCAAGTTAAATATTAATATTTTAAGCATGTAATACCAAACATAAGGGGTATAATCATATTGGGGTGAGTAGAGGATAGAGGAGTCTCTTCTGGATTGGTACAGCATTGTTCATTGCACTCAGAGGGTTTAATAGTAACGAGTTACAAATATATCCATCTTCTTTCTTAACAGCATTGTCTTTACTGACAAGAGCAAGTGAGCAGTCGTTCAACTAGGACTTTCTTGGAGGTCATGT